CCCCTCCCAGTTCATCCCAGTTCGTCCCAGTTTGTCCCAGTTCCCTCCCAGTTCCCTCCCAGTCCCTCCCAGTTTGATCCCAGTGCCCTCCCAGTCCAAACCAGTCCAAACCAGTAACCCCAAATCCCCATTTTCCCTCCAATTTTCCCAAATTTTCCCAATTTTCCCCCTCCCAGCGCCTCCCAGTTTGATCCCAGTCCCTCCCAGTATAAACCAGTAACCCCCAATCCCCATTTAACCCTTTTTTAACCCTTTCTGCCCCATTTCCCCCCATTTTTCCCTCATTTTTAACCCTTTTTCCCCATTTTTTCCTCCTCCCAGTCCCTCCCAGTCCCTCCCAGCATAAACCAGTATATCCCAGTATAAACCAGTAACCCCCAATCCCCATTTAACCCCTTTTTAACCCTTTTTTAACCCTTTCACCCCCATTTTTTTCCCATTTTTCCCTCATTTTTAACCCTTTTTTCCCCGTTTTTTCCCCATTTTCCCCCCTCCCAGTCCCTCCCAGTATAAACCAGTCCAAACCAGTTCACCTGAGTGGCGTGGTGGCCGCTGTGCAGGTGAGCACTGAGGCCCCGGGCCAGGTTGGGGTTGTGACCCCCCCTGAGAGGCACCAGGTGAGCAGCCAGGCCCAGGTAAGCCCCAAAATCCAATTCCTGACGGAGGGCCTGGGAGGGGGAAAATTCGAATTAAAATTCAAATTAATTAATCAAATTAATGAAATTAATTAATGAAATTTGTCAAGGAAAAAATTCGGGGAAGGATTTTAAAATTTGTCAGGAAAAAAATTCCCAAAAATTTATCCCGAAAAAAAAAGAAAAATTTAGCATAAAATATTTCCAATTTTATCCCAAAAAATTCCCAAATTTATCCCAAATAATTCACAATTTTATCCCAAAAAATTCACAAATTTATCCTAAAAAATTCACAAATTTATCCCAAAAAATTCCCAAATTTATCCTAAAAAATTCCCAAATTTATCCCCAAAAATTCCCAAATTTATCCCAAAAAATTCACAATTTTATTCCAAAAAATTCCCAAATTTATCCCAAAAAATTCACAA